CCCCCTTTCCCTTTTCACCAGTTTTTCGAGGTTTGGGGGGACTACCTTTTCTTCCCGTCTTCGCATTGGCCATACTCGTCTTACTCATTTGGGTATCTCATGGGGAGGCGTTTGCTTTCCCCTCTGAGAATTTCCAAGCTCCATTATCAGTCAGCCACATTTGTTTTGGGCTGCCACTTTTTTCAACGAGCACGCAGAATTTACCTCTGTCCCTCGTCTTCGCCCCTCTGTCTTCCCTTTACCTTTCCCTTCTCGCTGGGTGGACCCACCCCTTTCCTTTGGGCACTCTCATTGACTTTTTGGGCAAGACTGACTGACCTTTACAAATTCTGATACTTTTTTAGCCCCTTCTACTTAAATTCTTGGGTACCCCCCTAAACCCCCGTCTTCCCCTGCCCCCCCTGTTTCTGTAAAACCCCTGATTTATCCCCCCCCCCCCTTTTGGCCCTCCAATTCCCTTGCTTCCTTCCCCCAAACCCCGCAAGGGGGGTTTTTGGGCCCCTTTTGGGTTAGCGCTTTCTTTTTGATTTTTAATATAAAAATAATCATCACGGGCCCTGTTTTCATTTAGAACAGTTGTGTTTTTTTCCCCCTAATGGGCGAGTATGGGAATTCCCCCTCCAATTTTTTTTGTAGAAATTACACTTTTTTTAGCTTTTACTGTACAAATTAACTGAAGTGTTTTTTTGATAAAACATTGATGTGTATGGATAAATGTTTCGTTTTCGCTTTTAAATTTTTAAGGGAGGTAAAATGAAGGGGGTTTTTGACCAGTAAAGATGCATTTGGGCCAGTTTTAAAAACCATTTTTGGGAAAAATACTATAAAGAAAAACCTTTAAAAAACCCCAACTGACTTCAGTTTGTAGGTTTTAAAAGCCTTTTTCCTGTCTTTTTTAAGGGCTTTTTTCATTTCAATTTAAAAGATCTCAAAAGATTGAAAGTTCTGCATCCCCTTCCCGTTTGAAAAACTTAGTTTTTCAAGTTGCGACGGAAGTGATGTTTTGGGAAAATTCAATTTTTCTACTTTTTTCCCAAGGGAAAAACCCTAAACCACATTTAGAAAATCGTTTTGGGTTGGGGGAAAATTTAAAATTGGGGCCCCCGAAATTTTTTAATTTCATGTCCCTTTTCTATGGTGGTAGGCCCTTTATCATTTCAAAACAAATGATTTGTTTAGTTAGAAAATGGTAATTTTAAATTTCCTTTTTACATTGTTCTTGTACCTGTATGATTTTGTTTTTAAATTTAAATTTTTAGATAAAGGGGGGTGAATTAGTAAAAAAAAATTCCCTAGCCCAAATCACTAACCTCACTATGGTTTAAAAATTTTTTATATGACTTTCCCTTTTTGGTAATGCCTTTTTAATTTTTAGGGTGCACAGCCAGAGGAAAAGGGGGCCCACAAGGGCCCCCTATCCCCCCCCCCAAATTTACAAAAATTTTAAATTAAAAAAAAAAATTGATTTAAAGAAAAATTTGTATTTTTCCAAAACCCATTTTGACGGATTCATCCCAATTTTGGCATCTCGTGAACTGATATTGGACATTTTTTATGCGAGTGGGGTCACAGAAAAAAAAAAAAATTCAAGAACAGAAAAAGAAAGATGTAAAGGGAACTCAGAAAAATCAATATGCTCACAAAAAGTTTCCCGACGTTCCAGTTTCAGTTGAATCTGCAAAAAACGCCCGGGTTTATACCGGGGAAACCCTCCCTTTTATTATTTTCTCAGCCAGCATCTCCTTCTTTTTTTCTCCTCTCAAAGCTCAAACCCGGCATTTCATCCACAGGGTTTGTCTTAAAAGATCCCCCCTCATGGCCAAATGTAATCCCAGATTCTCTACGTAATGCTTTCATTGCAGAAAATATCATCCAAACTCTGAACATTGACTTTAGGAAATCAGCAAGGATTTATGATGATGGAAGTCGTCGTGTTTAAAGTCATCTATGTTTTATAGGAAGCTTGCAAATTCAGAAACTGTGAAAAGATCATGGATGGTATACTTGAAAGTCAGGAAAAGTGTACTGTTCAGCATGCAAGCTATTTTCTACCAAAAAAATACATTCACACAGGTTTATGGTAATGAACAGCAAGTTAGGAACAATGAAACGCCCACACAGGGCTGCTTTTCAAGTGTATTTGATGACAGAAAAAGGCTTATTGGATTCTCATTTGAAATCAAACTGAAAAAGAGCGCATTATTGGTGAAAGTTCTGAAAGAGTTGTTTGTTTTTAAAATTCTAGAAAGAGACATTGCTTTCCGTGTGGAAAAATGAGTTTTTGGTTGGGAAACACACTCAAATTTCAGGGGATTGTACAATGTCTTCATCTTAGCAAATCAGTGACACCTTTGGAATGCAGGAAGAGGCCTACTGTATCACTTCATATAAATAATTATTTTGAATGTTCTGAAGGTCCTAAAACATCATAGCACTTGAAAACTCAAAATACTTTGGCTTAAGTCTGAAAACCAAGTTTCAAACATCAATGACAACTTGTTCCTTTGTCTATCAGTGGTAAGCCTTTAGAGCGCTTTAAAAAAATTTCATTCTCTTTCAGGCGAGGAGAATGATGAATGTAGTACTGGATACTCTGCTTGAAATGTTTCCCCCTTTTTAGGGGTTCCCGGGGGCCAGAGTTTACGACAATGCAAGAACACGTGGGTAAATATAATGGTTTGAAAAGCCCGATCAACAAATCAACCCCTTGGAATATGTGCCCTGCCGCACACTCTTAATCTTGTTGGGTCATGTGCTGCGGAGTGTTGTCGCGGGCAGTTTTTTTTTTGGGGCTTTTACAAGAAATTTAATTTTTTCTCTGCTTAAAACGCTCGGGGGTATACCAGTAACCATTCGGGGAATGTCTCAAATATTATCAACACAAGGGGTCAGGCAGCATGTGAACACATGCTTGAAAAGACAGCTTTGCTGAAATACGTTTTTTTTTGTCCAATAGCAGAGGATAAAGACCGACAGCAATACAAAAAGCGAAGCCCCACTTAGCTCAAAATTGGAAGATTTTGAAAATTGGGCCTTATGTGTGTTTGGGGACTGTTACTGGAACGGTTTTTAAATGCCACGAAAAAGACATTTCAGAAAATTGAAATTGAAAATAGACTTGTGCTAACCTCTATGCGGGCTTAGGGGAATTTGTAAGCTCACTTCACAATGTGCTTTTGGGAAAAGTTTGAAGAGAAAACTAAATGCTGGGGAAAACTACAGTTCCGGGCTGACATCACGGGCAAGGAAGAGAACTCAATTTTGAAAGCCAGACAAGAAATTGTGTTACCAAGGCAAAAAGTAAGACAGCTACATACTTCGTAATTGGATTTCCCGATTACAAAATTGGTGAAAAAGAAAGAAATCTAGCAAATCTCAATGACAAGTTTGGATTTTGTTCAAAAATTTCTACTATGCCCCGATGAGAATTTGAAGAAGCTCATTTAAAGTTTAACAAAAACTTTCAGCAGATTTCAGGAACTTTGTTGAAGAAATAGTTTTTTTTTTCTGGGTAAAATGAATCAGATTAAAGCTCCACCCGAAAAATGTGCGCCCTCGTGCTTTTAAACATTTTAAAAAAATGCAGGCATTCAGAAACCCCTTTCCCCAAATTTTACAGTGGATCGCCCTTTACCTAACACTTCCCCTACTAACTGTGAAAGGGGAAATTATTTTCTGTTTTGAAAAGAGTGAAAAACCACTCCTTCAACAATGAGCCAAAATAAATTGTTAACCTGCCTTGTTGACCATTTAGTCTGATTAACAAGAAATATTGATTTTAGAATAAATTGATGATTTTTGCAAAAAACGAAATCCCGAAAAAAAAATTTATTTAAAAAAGTGCCCGTGAATATATAAAATTCTTTACTTTTATAGTTTATGCATGTCAAAAAACAATAATGGTCAGTGATTTAAAGGGTATTTGTGGTTATGCTGAATATAATAGGTAAAGCACTACTTTAATAGCCTAATTTGTAATACAATGCTGTCTTGAGTTTATTCTCTTTAAAAAGATGTTTTACAAGATAGTTAAAATGGCGGTTGGTAAATGGTTTTGGTCGTCTTGATGTACTTTCCCTATTAAATTTAATTTAAATAGCCAGAATGTATTTAATTAGACCTTAAACAGGCTCACACCCGACCCCCCCCCCACCCCAAGCTGGAAGGGTCGCTTCGCTTACCCGTAACTCAAAGGGGCCCCGCCAATCTGAATAGCCTAGGGCCCGGAGACTTCTTAATCCGGCCCTGCTCCTACAGGCACCGTATAAGCCTACGGGTTTAGCACTCCCCCATGATTATAATGTGATAACTAGCACAGCATAGTTTTTTTATTTGCTCTGCTCTAATTCCAATTATGCTCTTCACTGGCTAAGTAAAGCATAAAGATGTCCCGGGCCTGTTGCCGTCCCACGCAGATGCAGATGCAGATGCAGAGGCAAGGTTGTTGTAGTGAACCCACGCTAAGATAGGTTTTTGCTCCAGTGACTTGAAATATTCACGTTCTTGTGGTAGGCCCTGCAGGCTAGCACCACGGTAGTGTTCAGCAAAAAATATTGGTTCTCGTCCAACATTCAGACACTGATGGATGAGAACCCATCGCCTGCAGCACCTTGAGGTGCTGCAGACTGTGAAACTCGATAGAATACTACCCGAGTTTTCACCTTCAGCATAACTTTTGTAATGGGCGAGGTGCCTGTACGGTTTCTAACGTCGGTTATTTTAGCATTGATACTATAGCCTCTTAACATGTTAGTAAATTTACAAGTTTTTATTGATAAATAACTTGTATACAGTAGTCGCTGCTCTGTAAATGTTAAAATTTAAAGCTTCTAAGAACTTTAGTGTTAAATTTCACTAAGTTAATGATTTTTAATTTTTAAATCGGGCAAGAATGAAAATTGCTGCTAAATTAGCATAAAAATCCTTAGTGTTTTTAAAAAATAAATAGGACTAAACCTGCTTTAACAAAAAAATCCCCAAATAGCTTTCCTTTACTACAGGTAGTAGTGCACGGACGTGATGGCGTTATCATCCTGGAAGTGGAGGCACTATTATCTCCTCTGCTGGATCCTGTAATCCTTCAAAACGAAGTGGTCTACAACGCAATGAAAGATCTCGAGGTGAGTTTAATTTTGGGTAACTTTTGTTTACTTTCTTTGCTACACAATGTTTGAAATATCATATTCTCTTCAGATAAAACACCAGCAACAAACTTCTGTGATAGCTGCAGCAAAGGCAACAATAGAGAATAACGTGGACTGTGGAAATGCTACTAACGGCACTGGACCCATAGTAATCTCTGGACCTGTTACTCTCATCAACGGCATAGATGTCATAGGGGTTAGTGTAGTTTGACCTAAATCAGTTTTTTGGAATTGATTTAGCTTGTTAATTAGTCTCTACGTAAAACTAGTTTTGTACATTAGATTACTCTTCAGGCATTTAACACGTCGCAGCTCGAGGCCCAGACAATGGGTCTGCATGGCACACAGATGGATGGTATCAGTTACTACTATTACAGGGACCAACTAGTGTCTCTGACTCAGTACAGCAAGATGATGGACCAACTGTCTGTACAACTCGCAACTATAGGTTCCAAATTAGAAGGCAAGCCACTATAATTTTGTAACTTGTGAAACAATTTACTTGTGGCTAATGAAATTGAAATAGCTGAAAGTTACTAAAGAACGTAACTGGACATTGGCTAGTAAAATTTTGGTTTTCTTTAACAGATGCGGTTCCATCCTCTGGCTCGTCTAGAATGGTGAGTGGAGTGAAAACTATGAAGGGCGGAGACATGAATCTGGACACGCTGGCACTTTATAACCTTCAAATAAAAGAAGCTTTTGATGGCTCTGGCACCCTTGTTTCACTAGAAAACAAGTTTGGAAGCATTATAAGGTAAGTTAAATTGGTTAACCTGCTTGACTTGGTTTTGGCAAACAAGGAAACCCTTGTTAATTTAGAAATTACAGCGATCACAAATCATTACCTATAGCATTGAATGGAAGTATGATAGAAGGGATAATTCAGTAATGGTCTCGGATTTTCGTTTAGCAAATTACAATGGGCTTAGAGAACGCTTATCTGTGGACTGGGGTAACGAAGAGAGCTATCAGTATGACAGCTTTCTTAACACAATACATGCTGCCCAAAGGACATTATCCCATACAAGGAAATTAGATCGAATAGAAATGACCCCAGATGGATGAATAATAGGCTCAAATATCTTTTAGGGCAGAGAAAAGTAATTTATAAGCGTATCAAGAGGAGAGTCATCTTATGAATCCGTATATTGACATTAAGAGGGACGTTAAAAAGGGGATAAGGAAACCTAAACAGGACTATGAAATTGAAGTTGCTAGGGATTCGAAAACTAACCCAAAAGTTTTTTCCAGGTATATAGAACAAAAGTTAGATAAGATAGGTCCCCTTAAAAATAACTCTGGGCATCTTGCTGACAAGGAGAATGAAATATGCTCTATTATTTTCCCTCTTGTTTTCACTCGGGAAGACACTAACAATATCCCAGTAATTCTTACAGTGGGCCTGAAGATAAATTATGCCATATCAGTCACTAGTGAAATGGGTATCACAGATAGACCGGTTAAAGCAAAATAAATCCCCGGGCCCTGATGAACTTTTTTCGAGGGTTCTTGGTGTAAAATGGAACTTTGTGAACCATTGACTAATATTTTTAATGTTTCTCTTCAAACAGGTGGTGTCTGTGGAAGATAGCTAATGTAATTCCTATTTTTAACCCGTAAACGGTCCAAACGTATATAGTATACGTTTTTTCAACATTTGAAAATATGTAAAAAAAAAAAAGTAGATCTACTTTTGTAGCTCTACACATGTGAACGTACATCTGCTTGGACCGTTTTACGGGTTAAAGCAGGGGGGGAAAAGTCGTTACCGTCAAATTACCGCTCAATAAGCCTAACCTCAATTGTAGGCAAATTACTAGTCAATTATAGTTAAGATGCCATCTGGATAAGCATAGCTTGATTAATGATACTCAGCATGGATTCACAAGGGGCCGTTCCTTCCTAATTTATTAACCTTCTTCAGTAAAGCTTTCGAGGCCATTGATCATGATAAAGAATTCGATATTGTTTTAGATTTTGGTAAGGCATTTGATAGTACTGCACCAGAGACTGTTAAAGAAAGTGACAGCTCATGGCATTGGGGGAAAAGTGCTGTCATGGATCGAGTCATGACTCGCCAATAGGAGACAGAGTATGCTTAATTAAACAGGGTTAAATCTGAGTGGGGATCTGTAACAAGTGGCATTCCACAGGCATCAGTCTTGGGCCCGTTTATAATATATCGATGACCTTGAGGAAATTACTAGCGATATGAGCAAATTCGCTGATGACACAGGTAGGATAATTTTAAACTTTGATGTCGGGGAACTTCAGGGGGATTTAGACACTCAATTCCTGGTCAGAAAAGTGGCAGATGCAGTTCAGTGTAGATAAATGCAAGGTTCTGAAGCTCAGGAGTGTCCATAACCCTAGTATACTTAGTTAAATGATGTAGAACTTAGCCATACAGATTGCAAAAAGGATTTGGGGGGGGGGGGTTATGGTAAGCAGCAACCTTAGACCAAGACAGCATGCCTAAGTGTACGTAACAAAGCACAGATTACTAGGATTTATATCTAGAAGTGTAAGCAACAAGTCCAGTGGTTATTTTACAACTTGATACATCATTAGTAAGGCCTCGCCTAGATTACGCAGCTCAGTTCTGGTCTCCCTATTACAGAATGGATATAATTAGCAAGAAAAGAAAATATCCAGTGTACAATGACCAAATACACGTACATAGCATTAGAAATCTTCCGTATGAAGAACGATTGAAGACACTTAAACTACATTCACTTTTAAGATGAAGAATGAGGGGGAGACATGATTGAAGTGTATAAGTGGAAGATTGGGTATTAACAAAGGGGGTATAAATAAGGTTTTGAGGATATCACTTAAAAAAACTGCAATAATGGATTCAAATTAGGTAAGTTTAGACTTCAAAAGAATATAGAAAAGTATTGGTTTGGAAATGGGTAGTTGATGAGTGGAAGTCTGCCTAGTAGGGTTATTAAAGCTAAAACATTGGGTAGTTTCAAATTTAGGTTATACACCGAGAGGGGTTGGATTTGAGTGAGACTTGCGTAACGAGTAAAGTCATCAAAACTTATTTCTTGGGTAGCATTGAAAATTGGGTTGGGCAAATATTTTGTTAGGGGGGAAGGATTGTAAAAGACCTGCCTAGTATGAGCCAACAGGCCTGCTGCAGTGTTCCTCCTTTCTTATGTTTAACAGTCGGAGCGGTGGAGGGAGAGATTACCAACTTTAGATTCATTTTCTACAGGCATAATGACACGAGGAAAATAACTGGAAAGAAGGTTTTCACAAATGGTCTACACACGAGAACACTGTACACTTCTCATTTGGATGATGTACCTGTGATCGACTTGGTCACGACCAGTGGCCACCAAACCATCGCAGGAGCTACTTTCTCGACTTTAGTGGTGAATAACATCGCAGTACAAGAGGGAAGCACCGTAGATGGGCTGCACTTCTCAAGAGATGTGATAAGTCTCTCTGGCAGAGCTGTGCTAGGTTAGATGCTGTTCTAGTGTTTAATGCAATGCAAATTTAATTAAAAATCTTGTTCTAATACTAATTTCCTTTCTCAGGTCATTCTACGTTCTCAAAGGGCTTGACTGTGAAAGATAACGTGAATGTAATTAAGACTGAAAGTGGCATGGACCTGGATCGTCTGTTTAACAAGACTTTGAAGATCAGTGGTGGAACACTGCTTGGATCCGTATACTTCCTTAGGGAAGTAACTGTAGGAAGCCTGAAAGCCAAGGAGATGATGGGAATAAATGTAGATGAATTCATGTCTGAGACTGTATTCAAAAATAGTTTTGCATCTATTACTGGTTTGCTTGCAGTACCTTCCTTAGTGACAAAAACTGCTTTAACTGTGAATGGTAACATAAATGGTGCTAGTTTTCCTTCTCATTTTCCTTTGCGAACAGACTCCACTCATAGTTTCGGTGCTAAGAGTTTCTCTAGTCTACAATTCGGATCCGTGACATTGAATGATGGGGCTACTGTGGATGGCCTGGATGTGTCACAACTCGTCACTCTAAATTCGCAGCAACAAATAACTGGCAAGAAGACCTTTATGAAAGGTGTAAACATAAAGGGCAACTTGGACATCTCTACTGCCATAATAGATGGAGTTAACTTAAACTTATTAACACGGGGAATTTCTCTCTCTGAATTAACAAATTGGAAGTTTAACTTAGAATTCAAGAAACCAGTGCACATTAGCTCCCTACACTGCCGTGGAAAGGTGAATGGAATAGACTTCGCTAATATTGCTGAAGATATAATCTATACTGATGCAAGCTCGGCAGTGATCTCGGGAAGGAAAAAATTTGCATATCCGTTGACTATTTCTGATTCGGCTTTCGAAAATTCCTTCAATAACGAAAAGTTTGACGACCTGGTGAATCTTTCTGGCAACAATACTTTCGGTGGAAATTTAGCGTTCAAAAATGACGTTCACTTCGATTCCTTGACAGTGACTGGCAATGTAGATGGTGTAGACTTGGCCAACCTGGCATCTGCTGCAGTTTACCTTGACAAGGAGGGGCAGGTGGTTCAGGGAAAACTAGTATTTACAAAGAGGACCTCTGCTGCTGGTCTAGAAGCTTCTGGAAAGATAAATGATGTTGATTTTTTGAAAGTCTTAAGGAAGACTGGAATGCAAAACTTCAGTGCTGTCCAGGTGCTCAAGTCTGCAACTTTTGATTATGTAAGAACGTATGCTATAGAAATGTCGGAAGGAGCCACGGTTAACACTATAGATTTATCGGAGCTTGCAAAGAATAGAATAAAACTGAACTCTGCTGACAGTTTCAATGGTACTTTGAATATAGAGGGAAGAGTGACTATACTTGGTGCACTATCTGCAGTCTACATGAATGGTTTTGACATTCAGCAGTTGAAAGACAACATAGTCACAGATAAAGTATCATGTACAGTATCTGGGAATGTTATTTTCTCGACACTTAATGTCGACCAGTCTGTTACAACAACTGGTAAAGTGGGTGCTAATGGGTTGAACATAAATATCATCAATGCAAATGCTGCTCGTCTATACTCTGACAACTTCCTGAGTGGTTCAATCGCCTGGAGTAACTTAGTACTGCTTGGTAACGTGACTGTAGGTGGCTTAGTCAATGGTGCTGATTTGAGGAGGATAGCTGCCGATGCTGTGTACAAGAACATTCCAACTGTGCAGATCATAACAGGTCAGTAAATGTAGCCGTAAAAATTTACATTTGCAGAATGGCTGTAAAGTTGGGTATACGTGTGAATAACTTGAAATTTAAGTAAATTGCCACTACATGCTTATAAATACAGGCAGGAAGACCTTCCATGATGGGTTCACTGTTAAAGGCGACATATACGCTGAAACCACTAATGGGCTTGACCTGGCCACAAGGCTCTTCACCTTGCACACGAATCAGGTCATCACTGGTATATACCACTTCGCAAGTATACGAGCTGAGCAGTACGTTAACCTTGTTGGACTCTATTGCAATGTAAACCTCAAGAGGTTGATGGCTAATACACTCCAACGTGGGAATTACATTTTAAATGGTAAGACTTTTAAACTACATGCAAACTGAAAGGGCCATCTTCTGGTAATAGCTAACATTTCCTAGCCTGTAAACTTTCTATTTTATTTCAGGGGATTTATTCTTCACAAACGTGGTCAACATAAGTCACCTTAGGCTGGAAGATTCTCTGAATCTGAGGAATGTGAATGAACTCTTGAGGGATGCTATAAGAAAGCTGGACATACCTCTCACAGTGACTGGCATTAAGACCTTCAAGAGCAGCATGGCAGAATCCTTTACCACTTTCAAGAACATTAAAGTCTGGTACCTGAATTCTGTGAATTTTGATCATTATTTGGCACATGTGGTCCGGAGGAATTCTCCTAGTTTTGCATTAAAGAGCCTGTCAGTGGCGGGAAGTATCTCTGCCCCAACTATCTCTGCTACTACACTGATGATAGAGGTAAAAGATACTCTCATATGTTGAGAATGTAATGAAATATTTATAAACTTGTGATTTTTAACACTTGTTCTTCTTCTTTAGGGCACAATTGAAGGAGTAGACTACCATTTACTCCTTAAAAATGCGGTGCACTTGACAGGAGACCAGACCATAGTGTCTCCCCTGGTATGTATTACAAAAATGGCATCACTGCTGTATGCAGTGTATAATCTCTTCCTGTTAATTTCCCCCATAACTCTTAGATAATATCTAAATAATGCTGTAATTTCAATGTCTGAGTTTGAAAGTACAGATATCCCTCTTCATTTTCTCCCGTGCCTTATGAACAACTTTCATTGGTATAATTTTCCGATTCATAGTCTTAGCGTAGAGCTCTGATCCATGCACTTGTAATGTTTGAAGGTTATTCTGCAAATTTTCTCATTTACAGGTGTTTCTGGAGGATCTGTCTGTGGATGGCAATATTAAAATAAAAACTTTGAACAACTTGAAGCTAGATACTGACTACTTAACTACCACAACAAACCAAACTATACCTTATCAAACGACATTAAAAAATGCAACTACATCAGATATCTTTGTGGGCGGGCAAGTAAACGCATGGTTCTTCTACCAAGAAGTTATGGAGACTATGAAAGTGAGTTATCATAGGTGTGAAGCCTTCTTGATTAATTTTGGCAATTGAGATATTACTAGCACTAAATAAAAAAATATCTTCTTAGGCAGTCGGTGGTCAAACTTTGCCTGGGCTGATAACCTTTGGTGGCACTGTAGAAGTGTTGGGACGGGTAAGAGTGACAGAGAAAACAGGTGCCAGTATCAGAGTAAAGCTCTCCCAACAAGCTGTCTCGCTGGGTGACAACTCTCAAATTGAAGGTGGGCAAAACTTTAAATTTTCATTATTCGTTGAATGACTAGTTGCCATTACAATCCCTAGGTAACGTTTAAATTATCCATGCTAGTAGTAACAGGAGTCGGGTACTAAATTCAAAATTAAATACCTTGACCCTGTGTATAGGAAGTTCTAATCTGATGGCCCTTGGAAGTGGGTTGGTACTTGTTATATCAAACCTAATTCCTCGATACCCCATTGTAACTAATGTTAAATGTTCAGTAATTCAAATCTGAACGTTACCGAACTTTCAAAGATAAAAATTACAGGTCTCCCTCAACATTCACGTTTTCAACTTTCACGGGCTTCACACATTCGCGAATTCCCAACCGCCAAATTCCCAGCCACCAAATTCCCAGCCGCCAAATCATATTTAAGTTTCCTGCCACCTGCGAGTCCCTACTACCCTCCCTCCGACCCCCCACAACTGGCAGCCAGCCCTCCCACCACTCAGTGTGGCGAGTGTTTTGTTTGTTCATTATTTGCTATTAAACTACAGCATAAATAATATACTCATTCATGACTGCATATTGGAATGGCTATTCGGACAGGTATTAGACGGTGGCATCATGTGTTTACTCTTTAACACTGCAAAGAATTAAATATTTCTGCTACAGCTAATAATAATAATAATAATATAATAATAAAATAATATAATTGAAGGAAATTGTACAAAAATACGAGGGAGTGGTTGATGTGGAAAATTTTTAATTTTCCGAAACTATAGCGCCTAATAGGTGTTTTATGTGCCGATATGAGTCAAAAATGTATTTGAAAATAGAGTAGAACCAAGAGTTCCCTTTGCGCATGCGCGGATATGCCGGGGCTTGGCGGGTTTTGTTTTGAAGGTGGAGAGGAAGCAGGGAAAGCATGGAACCACGAAATTGGCATTCACGGCCCCCTAAGGATTAATATAGGCCTCATTTCGTAATAGGAAGTGTCGTAACTGTTCCTGGTGGAGAGTGAGGGATCGTGATTTACGGGACCACGGTAATAGTGGTAAAGTGAGTAAATAAGGGCAGGACCGTGGGTGACTGACGCGTCGTCCTGGACTGTGTCCCGGGGAAAATTACCCTTGGTTTAATCATCACTCATCGGTCTCAGTTCTTAATGGAGTGATCTCTAATGTGTATAATAATTATGAGCCATTAAATCGTCTTGTGAATTGTAATGTAATTAATGATAATAACGCTAAGTTAAGAGAATGCGTGAAGTGAAATAAGTAGTTTTGCTCCGAGTGAACACGTTAGACTTCGTTGTTCCCGAGACAAGGAAGTGAAGCTCCTTGAGTCACGACTTTTAAAGTGAGACAAACCAACGGATACCTCGGCTGGATTGAGAACCGTGTCGGTGTAGCAGGACATCGAAAATGAGACGGTGAATGGAGGAAATAAGGAGTATCAATCACCACAGTTAAGTAACCCTTCTAGTTATAACAAACGTATGTGGCCAGTGGTGTTATGTTGTAATTAGATAGGTTATGAGTGGTCCAGCTACATCAAGTGACCACCAGAGAACATCTGGTAAGTGGTGGGATTGTGTACAAATGTTTTCCTTGATGGATGTATCCAGGTGTATCCTACCCCCCCCCTTCATTCAGCTAAACTAATATAATCTATACAGTCCACAATTAATTAGTAGCACCGTACTTGTGGGTGCTATCCAATCCATACTGGTCTCGGATAGATATGGATAAGATTGTGAGGTCGAGGGGACCACTTGCCGCGACCAGGGGTGGTTAAGTTTTCTCACATGTCTACACGGGGTGACTACGGTAAACAATATGATTGTCTCCCAATGAGATTACTGGTATGTATATAATGTTGAGGTACATACAGGTAAGCACCCTAGAAAATTTTCCATAGTTGACACATCGTCAGTGTGACTGTTTATGCTGGAGTGAACATTAGTCTCCCTGCTCTTCCAAACATTTCACAATAATTCATTGTGTTTGGTGCTTGTAGATTGAGTGTGACTGGAGTGGTAGAGGCAGTGATTGAGGCAATGGTATTTAATAACATGCATGTTAATAATAATACATGTTATTAATAATATATACTATTATTATTTATAACAGTTATTAAATACCACTGCCTCAACCGCTGAATTATTGTGAAATGTTTGGAAAGAGCAGGGAGACTAATGTTCACTCCAGCATAAACAGTCACACCAACGATGTCAACCACTCCCTCGTATTTTTGTACAATTTCTTTCTTCAATTATATGGTTATTAGTTTTTTTTTTCAATAGCAGAAATGTTCCAATTCTTTGCTGTGTTCAAGAGTAAACACATGTCACCGTCTAATACCTTTCCTAATAGCCATTCCAATATGCAGTCATGAATGGATTTACATTATTTATTCTGTAGTTTAATAGCAAATAATGAACAAACAAAACACTCGCCACACTGAGTGGTGGGAGGGCTGGCTGCCAGTTGCGGGGGTCGGAGGGAGGGTAGTAGGGACTCGCAGTGGTGGAGTCTGTGGTATTTAATAACATACATGTTATTAACATGTTATTAAATATCATAAGTTATTAAAGCATAACATGTATATATTTAGTACAATTTACGACGTTTTCATGTATTTTATGATTATTCATGGTTCAACAAGTTAAGGAAGCAATATTGTAATATATTTCCCTACAATATATTGGGGAACCAAACATTCACGGTTTTTCAACATTCACGAGGCTCTTGATCTCCTAACCCTCGCGAATGTTGAGGGAGACCTGTATTCTTTAGAATTTTCATTTGTGGTAGTATGCCAGTTGCAAAGGGTAAAGCAAGACGACTGGCTATAGTTTTTTATAATTAAGCTTATTTGGGGTAAGGGGAGAAGCTTAACCCTTTTCAAACTGATGTACGTTTGGTAGGTTTAATTAATGTGGGGTACTTGTTACCTTTTTTTTTTTTCCCCCACAGGCGTGCTAATCTTTAATGGCCCATTAACGGTGGAGAGACTAGAAACGTCAGGAATAATAAATGGTGTAAACTTGTCAGACTTGTACAACAACGCCTGGTTTGTTGACCAGGATGCAGACTTTACCGCCAGAATAATGTTCAATGCCAGTGTCATCATGAAGGTGAGGTGGTTTTAAAATATTAGGTAAAGGACAAAGTCCAGCTAATGTGACATTTTACTCTGGCAACGTCTCGCTCTCAAGGAGTGAAACATTGCCACAATAAAACGTCACATTAGTTGCACTTGTCCTTTTACCGAATGTCGGCAATTCTACCGGCATTAATACAATCAGTTTTAAAATAGTGGAACTTCAAAAATCGAAATGCTCCCAACACAACCAATAATGTAAGTGTATTTTTGTTAGTGCTTTTATAAGTGCATTTTTGAGGGTCTGAAATGGACTAATCTAATTCCCATTATTCCTGATGGGAATAAATTCATTCGGTAGAAGCACTCGAACAGCCTTCTGGACCGAAGAAAGTTCAATATTTGAGGTTCCACTGTACTGAAAACCTGAGGTTTCACTACAAAATAATCAAAATGCTAAATTTATATAAATTTACACAGGAAGGGTTGGTAGTTGCTGGTGTTGTTGACAACCTGATGGTCAAGGACCTGTACAAAGAAACTACAGAAGTTCTTTCGCACTACAGCAATACAACCGAAGATCTGAGGGTCAGTATTTTAATGTGAAATTCATTTTATTTCATGCATTAAGAGAATAATAATAAACGTAATAACTCTTCCAGGAAGAGTATGAGGGTGTATGTGGTCCTATCACTGCTCTACACGAACAGCTACAGACCTCAGTCTACGAAGGAGACTACTTCTCTATACTTCGTGAGCTGCAGATTCCACACAACCGGCATTCTTCTACATCTTTCCAGGTTTAGTAAAATGACGTGGATTTATTGCAATAGTTATCTTTAAATGTATTGTGATAAACTAATTTAAGATCTGTTCCTCAGGCTTTTAATACAACCTGCGTGGTGATGACCTGGGAGGGTGGACTTTGCGATTCTGTATTGTACATGTTCGATCCTATCTCTTTGGACCTGGTGCAAGCCACGACTATATCAAACTCTGGATATGCTCACCAGTGGCTCTTCTTGGATATCTTTGATGAAAGTGTATGTAACTTTTTCTTCCCTTCCTAACAAACCTAATGTTATGGAAGCTGAGTAAAGATGTAAGTAACTTATTGAGTTTTGCAGGTATTATTGGCCATGGCTGGGTCAGCAAAAGGAAATAACTGTACCAGAAGTAACAGCATCATCTGGAGGATTAACAAATTGACAGTTCAGGTATGAGTTGTACAAAAAAAAAATCATGCTTTGTGATAATTTCTAAATACATGGTTTTCTTCTAAAACTATTCATGTGTGGCAGGTGCATCAAGAGTTGATTGCCGGGGAGCGCGTGTCTAAAGCTTTGGTGGCTGGAGAAGTAATGCTGTACATACACACAGAAGTGGACACTTTCACTTACAGGCTGGACTCTACCACAGGATACTTTACCCAGTTAGAAGTTTTGCATGGTCATGTGGGTAAGTTGAAATTTGCCTGAACCTCAAACTCGCGCAGTTAAAGGCTGCTGAAACAAAATTCGGGTCAAGTATAAAGTCTGTCGCTTTTTTTTTTTTAATTGATACCATTACCTTGTGAACATTATGGTTATGGGAAAATTAGTGCGTGCTAGCACTTACATTGGTCGTAAACACCTGCCTAGGAGTGACCCAGGGCATAAACTTGACGCTCGCAACCAGCGAGTTGGTGTCTTGTAGGTGACTGTGCAGTAATAACCAAATCTGTAAAATGGAGGATTATTTAAACAGGCAAAAAATTTAAATAAGTTAAAATACATGCCAAATTCAAAATTTACTAAATACTTTTTGTAGTTTGCTTCAGTGGTAACATTATGGAATGTCCCACAAGCATTAATGAAATGGGTCCATTTAACAAAGAAGGCCTTCAGGTCGCCATAAGTGCAACACAAAGGCGTTTTTGGCATAACACACAACTTGCAGCACTCGTATCCTTGGCACATCAACGCTATCCATTGATTACTTTTCCCTCAAGGGAGGTTCCTTGATGCTGGTGAGGGGTCTCTTGATCTAGGGAATCGGATCTGTGCTCCAGTTCCCTGAATATATGAGCCTGAATACCATCCATTCTCCCCCCCCCCCATGTGCTGTATAATCCTACAGGTAGAGTTTTCCCCCGTTATTATAATTTATGCAATTGTAAAACTTCAAACACTGGGATAATGCAAGATCTTCTCAGGTGTCACCGCAACTGCAGAATCAGACAACCAAGCTGTTATGTTCTGGGCTTCCCGATACTCTGGGAAGGTGATGGTAGATGGAGTGTTTGGTGAAGAGTTGGAGTTTCCAGCACGTATCATGGATGCTCTTGTGATCTACCAGGCGGGAAAGTTTTTTATTGTTCTGGCTGTACATAAAGAAATGTGCATAGAGGCTCAGATGAACCTGGAGGTTTGTAAATTTTAAATTTTCTTCATTGTCATTAAACCAAAAAGATGAGATTAAATTTCATTTATCAATAAATCTAAAAGTAAGAATTCAGATTTTTGGCCAGGTATTTCTAACAAATTTACCTTTCCTCCCTTAATTTTAACAGTGCAAATAATGGTTGGGGTGATAGTTCTTCAGGGGGGTTGGTCATTGTTTTCTGTTGAGGGGGATTTGTTAGGTAGTTGTCATGCAAAAAACTCATGTAATGCATGGTAATAAGAGGCACATAATGGGGTCTAATGGGTCCATTGATTATGCTCCAAAGATAGCAACGAATTACTAAGTGAGGAGTTTAATAAAATGTGTAGCACATCAATCCCTCTGAATTCTAGTGTTTCAGATAGCCTTCAGCCTTTTCCCCAATATTTTTAAGCCAGAATCATATCTAAATGCATTAGCTTTCAGACCCTACACCCTCTTAAATGTACCTTAATATTAAAATTAAATTTCTAAAGTTAGTGGTTTAAATTTTTCTTAAACTTTGCAAGTATTTTGGTTTTAAACTGTCATCCTTAACTTTCAGCTTTACACAGTAGATTTGGGTACCAAAACTGTTGCTGGTGTAGACACACACAGACTGAGTGCCCAAGCAAATCTTCTATCTTTCTTCACTGGAAGTTATGCCAGTGGCTCAACAATAGTAATGGCTATTCAACAGAGTGCATTCCCACTAGTATACAAATTAAGAGGTAATTATATATATATATTTTTTTTTCTTTCATTCTTTTGACAAGCAAGTTTGTTGGTGATTCTTAAGCTTTCTAGGCCTAAATGTTTCTTTTCTTTCCAGGAGAGAAGTTGAACGTATTCAATGTAGATTGTATACCAAGAGTGTTGTGGGCACAGTACATGAGCACCCCAGGCCAAAAGTTTCCACAACTCTTGGACCATTATGTGTTACTGGGAAGGAAAGACCAGACACTTCTCACAAAGTTGATTATGAGAGGCTCTGTTTTGCCTTCCAGAAAACTCTACTGTGATGCCGACGCCTTCTGCGACCCCTTCCTAACACCCCAAATCCACATGGATAGCCCATAGATTACATGTTTTAAACTAATGTTCAAATTGAAAAAGAAAACAGAATTTGTAAGTCTTTAAATAAAATTGCTTTCAGTTTATACTTTTAAAGAATTCCTGTTTTTTATGGAAGTGGATATAAGTAGCAGATGCTATAATTTGTTTTTAATTAAGGGAATTTAAAAGCTTTGAATTAGATAAAAAAAATTCACCAAATGTCTGCTGTACATAAATTACTGTACAGCTAAGGGAGGGGGAAGAAACTGCAAAGGCTGCTCAGACTATTGGATAAATAAAGCCTGAACAGCTAACACTATAATCTCGACTAGAAAGAGGAGCCTTAACTTGGGAAGAACGGACTTAAACGTTAGAACCTTCCTGCAAAATTTAAACTAGATATTTTAAAGAAAACTGACTTTGGCAACACTAAATTGCATGCTCTGAGTAGTTTGGTACTGACTGCTAAATAAGATGCATCAGAGCTGCAACAGGCAAGGATCGTTAACTGCCCACACAACCAATAAAGCATATAAACTACCAAATATATATGCTTTATATATACTATAGCAGACGTGCATTTTCAGATGAATGCCTACTGCTATGAACACTTGGCTATAAATTTAAAAAGTTCATCCAAGCAAAGCTTTCGTGTGCTTTCTTTCCCTGTGTAATTTTTCATACCTCAAATTCGTTACCTCACAAAGGAATATTCTTCTAGATATGATTAGTTCACCTGACAACTCTTTTTATAGCTCGCCACCGAATGACCATTGTGGGTTCAGTACTTTAGTGGTCAGCTGTTTTAATAATCTTCCTGGCCTGCTAGTGTACTCGCATATAATCTAGTGATACCAGTGAATAGCAACTAACCAGTATTATAATGGTACTTAGTGGAGTGACTTTCATTAGTTTCTTTTTTCTTGAAATACCAGACATATACTGTGATTTTCATATAACCTGTAGTTACCAGCGGTCGCAATATACACAACGAGAAGCAATTATTACTACAGAAAAAGCGTCCTTCCTCCAAAATTTCCACCAGTCAACTATAGTGATAATATACCATTTATTGTGGTGGAGACGAAAAAAAAAAATAGAAAAGCTAGATATAGCGATTGATAAAAAAGGGTTGAGGCTCGACCGTTCGTCATTGTAGGAGCTGCCAGAAATCACCGGTTCTTCAACACACAAGTTATACTTTTGTATCAATCAAATCACATATTACTCGGGTAGATAATTTCAAGTAGATCCTTCATGTGTTAGCCCAAATCACCGACCAGTACGTTTTAAATAAGTGACCCACTGATCAGATCAGATCGACTGGTCCGAACCCTCGACTGGTTTCGAACGGATTCGTTGGACAATAAAGCAGACTATAAACGGATGGGGTTGTAGGCGCCCTTATCAAACACAAACAATAAATATAAATCGGGGACGTACACGGTAAGCTGTCCAATATACAAGTAAAGTTAGAAATAGAAATGCAAATAGCTAGAGCTTCATTTAAGGAGGTTATTAATAGAATATTCAAGAGGTTGCTAGTAGAATTACAGTAAATCAACCATTCAAATCATTATGAAGCTGTGTAGTCTGCAGTCAATCGAACAAACGGGCTTCCACATGGATAAATTGTCATTTTTGTGGAAATTGGTGTCGCTCCCCTTGTGCAAATATCCAAGAACTAGCTACATGCAGTATTAAAACAGAAGTGTTTTTGGGTATGCCCAAATGAGATAAATCTGTGGACTAAAATCACAAGGGTATTAAAAGAGGATAACATCAAAGCTGCTTTCATAGACAACCTGGAAGCTTTCTACAACAGATGGGAACATAAAAAGTCTGGGCTGAATGGTATTGCCCTTGATACTGGCCATGTAGTCAGAAACTGTAAGGCTGGAGGTGATGTCCTGGTAGTCAGTAAATGTGGGGCTGATAGTGCTGTCCTGGGAGACAGTAATGGTGAAGCTGGAGGTGCTGTCCTGTGAGACAGTAATGGTGAAGCTGGAGGTGCTGTCCTGTGAGACAGTAATGGTGAAGCTGGAGGTGCTGTCCTGTGAGACAATAATGGTGAAGCTGGAGGTGCTGTCCTGTGAGACAGTAATGGTGAAGCTGGAGGTGCTGTCCTGTGAGACAGTAATGGTGAAGCTGGAGGTGCTGTCCTGGGAGACAGTAATGGTGAAGCTGGAGGTGCTGTCCTGGGAGACAGTAATGGTGAAGCTGGAGGTGCTGTCCTGGGAGACAGTAATGGTGAAGCTGGAGGTGCTGTCCTGGGAGACAGTAATGGTGAAGCTGGAGGTGCTGTCCTGGGAGACAGTAATGGTGAAGCTGGAGGTGCTGTCCTGGGAGACAGTAATGGTGAAGCTGGAGGTGCTGTCCTGGGAGACAGTAATGGTGAAGCTGGAGGTGCTGTCCTGGGAGACAGTAATGGTGAAGCTGGAGGTGCTGTCCTGGGAGACAGTAATGGTGAAGCTGGAGGTGCTGTCCTGGGAGACAGTAATGCTGAAGCTGGAGGTGCTGTCCTGGGAGACAGTAATGGTGAAGCTGGAGGTGCTGTCCTGGGAGACAGTAATGGTGAAGCTGGAGATTTTGTCCAGGTAGTCGCGAATTATACGCAGGAAGGAATACATATAAATGACCTCATAGGGGACAGGAGCCGTAGCGGGGAAACAAGTGTAGTCAAAGATAAGATAAAACCAATATTGCAAACTAGAAATACCACAGGAAATAGCAAACAAGAGGACTCCAATAGCAATAGTGAGGATATATTACCAAAAACAACTGGTGGGAGCTCCATTGTTGGTGCTAGGGAGGATAGGAATAAGACAGGGAAACATGCACCAACAGGGAATACAGTCACAGAAACCCAAGGCAAACGGAAACCAAGCCTGTGCACATACTATGCACTTGGTATCTGCAGACATGGGAAATCTGGAAAAACAGATGGGACGTGCAACTACAACCACCCTAGAAAATGCCATGCCCATATGACAACAGGAAAATGCAAACTCCCTTCCTGTAAGCTTTTTCACCCTGAAATGTGCACCTCTTCAGTACACGAAAGACTGTGCTATAACTTAAATTGCCAGGTACACCATCTAAAGGGGACAAAAAGATACAAAACATCCAGGCCATGGGAAAACCTGGGTAGCCACAGCCACTCAAGAGAGGTTTTTAGTGCCAGGAAGGAAAAAAAAAACTGGCAGGAAATGGCAAAAATCGTACACCAAATCCAGTCATTCCTGGAGTGGAACCACAGTCGATGGCCTCCACTCCAAACCAACAGATAGATACTAATGCCGGAAAAAAACCCCCCCTCCCCCCAGTACCAACAATACCACCAGTCCGATGACATTCTTCTTTGCAAATATACAGGGTCTAAAGCCAGCAACAAACAACAAAATACCTTTCATCCGTGGACTGCTTGCAGAGGCAAAGGCAATGTTCGCAGCTTTCACTGAGACCCACATAAAGGATCACTTGGACAACGAAATATGGATCCCAGGTTACAACCTATACAGATGTGACAGAGTGAACAGGCAAAAGGGGGGGGGGGGTTGGCCTGTACATTGCAGAGTCACTTGTTTGCACAGAACTGCTTAATGCCTCAAATGATGTAGTGGAAGTTTTAGCAGTAAAGGTCGAGAACCAAAACCTAGTCATCGTGGTAGTCTACAAGCCTCCGGATGCAACATCCCAGCAATTCCAGGAACAGCTGTTAAAAATTGACCACTGTCTGGAAAATCTTCCAGCTCCTGCACCCAACATCTTGCTCCTGGGGGATTTCAACTTAAGGCACCTAAAATGGAGGAATATAGCAAATAATGTTGTTGCAGTAATAGCACCAGGAGGCAGCTCTGATGAAAGCTCACTCACACGAGCTTTTAAATCTCTGCCCAAAATTCAATTTAAACCAGCAAATAATAGCCTACTAGACTGGAGAATACACTAGACCTCATCTTCACTAACAATGATCTGATAAGAAATGTCACCATATCAAAAACAATATACTCAGATCACAACATAATTGAAGTTCAGACATGTATACGTGGAGCCCCAGACACATAATGAGACTAGTCACGAGGGAGCATTCACCAAATTCAACTTCAATAACAAAAACATAGTGGGACCAAGTAAACCAAGTCCTAACTGATATAAGCTGGGAAGATATACTAAGCAACACAGACCCCAACTTATGCCTAGAACAGATTAACTTGGTGGCACTCGATGTATGCACAAGGCTTATTCCTCCAAGAAAAAGGAGTAGAAGATGTAAAATAGAAAGACAGGCACTCCCTTTACAGGCGACGGAAAAGAATAAGAGCGGCTAAAAGAGGTCAATATATCTGAAATGCGTAGGGAGACACTGGTCAGAGAAATAGCAAGCATCGAACTTAAGCTAAAGGAATCTTATAGGAGTCGGGAATCGTGGGGAAAAACTAAAAGCCATAAATGAAATCGAAAGAAACCCAAAGTATTTCTTCTCCTATGCCAAATCAAAGTCGAGAACAACGTCCAGTATTGGGCCCCTACTTTAAACAAGATGGGTCCTACACAGATGACAGCAAGGAAATGAGTGAGCTACTCAAGTCCCAATATGACTCAGTTTTTAGCAAGCCGCTAACCAGACTAAGAGTCAAAGATCAAAATGAATTTTTTACGAGAGCCACAAAATTTGGTTAACACAAGCCTATCCGATGTTATCCTGATGCCAAATGACTTCAAACAGGCGATAAATGACATGCCCATGCACTCTGCCCCAGGGCCAGACTCGTGGAACTCGGTGTTCATCAAGAACTGCAAGAAGCCCCTATCACGAGCCTTTTCCATCCTATGGAGAGGGAGCATGGACACTGGGGTCGTCCCACAGTTACTAAAAACAACAGACATAGCCCCACTCCACAAAGGGGGCAAAGAACTACAGACCAATAGCACTAACATCCCATATCATAAAAATCTTTGAAAGGGTCCTAAGAAGCAAGATCACCACCCATCTAGAAACCCATCAATTACGCAACCCAGGGCAACATGGGTTTAGAACAGGTCGCTCCTGTCTGTCTCAACTATTGGATCACTACGACAAGGTCCTAAATGCACTAGAAGACAAAAAGAATGCAGATGTAATATATACAGACTTTGCAAAAGCCTTCGACAAGTGTGACCATGGCGTAATAGCGCACAAAATGCGTGCTAAAGGAATAACAGGAAAAGTCGGTCGATGGATCTATAATTTCCTCACTAACAGAACAGAGAGAGTAGTCAACAGAGTAAAGTCCGAGGCAGCTACGGTGAAAAGCTCTGTTCCACAAGGCACAGTACTCGCTCCCATCTTGTTCCTCATCCTCATATCCGACATAGACAAGGATGTCAGCCACAGCACCGTGTCTTCCTTTGCAGATGACACCCGAATCTGCATGACAGTGTCTTCCATTGCAGACACTGCAAGGCTCCAGGCGGACATCAACCAAATCTTTCAGTGGGCTGCAGAAAACAATTTGAAGTTCAACAATGAGAAATTTCAATTACTCAGATATGGTAAACACGAGGAAATTAAATCTTCATCAGAGTACAAAACAAATTCTGGCCACAAAATAGAGCGAAACACCAACGTCAAAGACCTGGGAGTGATCATGTCGGAGGATCTCACCTTCAAGGACCATAACATTGTATCAATCACATCTGCTAGAAAAATGACAGGATGGATAATGAGAACCTTCAAAACTAGGGAGGCCAAGCCCATGATGACACTCTTCAGGTCACTTGTTCTATCTAGGCTGGAATATTGCTGCACACTAACAGCATCTTTCAAGGCAGGTGAAATTGCTGACCTAGAAAATGTACAGAGAACCTTCACGGCGCGCATAACGGAGATAAAACACCTCAATTACTGGGAGCGCTTGAGGTTCCTAAACCTGTATTCCCTGGAATGCAGGTGGGAGAGATGCACGATTATATACACCTGGAAAATCCTAGAGGGACTAGTACCGAACTTGTACATGAAAATCACTCATTACGAAAGCAAAAGACTTGGCAGACGATGCAACATCCTCCCAATGAAAAGCAGGGGTATCACTAGCATGTTAAGAGACCATACAATAAGTGTCAGGGGCCCAAGACTGTTCAACTGCCTCCCAGCATACATAAGGGGGATTACCAACAGACCCCTGGCAGTCTTCAAGCTGGCACTGGACAAGCACCTAAAGTCGGTTCCTGACCAGCCGGGCTGTGGCTCGTACGTTGGTTTGCGTGCAGCCAGCAGCAACAGCCTGGTTGATCAGGCTCTGATCCACCAGGAGGCCTGGTCACAGACCGGGCCACGGGGGCGTTTACCCCCGGAACTCCCTCCAGGTAATTAGCGCTAGCCATAGCTAAGGGTTAAATGTTAGCAAAATACACTAAGAATCACACAAAGGGAAAACCACCAACTATTGTGTAAACCATTGTGGCAAAAATAGTCGTAAGTTTGAATTAAGGGGTGCCAGACAATTTGTCGGTAAACTGGAGTTGTGCCCTTTTTCTTTTGTCGGCCATCCCACCGAGGAAGGGTGACCCAGAAAGAAAAAAATCCCCAAAAAGAAAATATTTTCATCATTCAACACTTTCACCTCACACAATCACTGCTTTTGCAGAGGTGCTCAGAATACAACAGTTTAGAAGCATATATGTATAAAGATACACAACATATCCCTCCAAACTGCCAATATTCCAAACCCCTCCTTTACATTATTATTATTATAATCAAGGGGGAAGCGCTAAACCCGGAGGATTATACAGCGCCTGGGGGGGGGGGGGATGTGGAAGGCATTCAGGCTTAATTCGGGGAACTGGAGCACAGATCCAATTCCCTAAATCAAGAGCCCCTCGCCAACATCACCCCTCCTTTAAAGTGCAGGCACTGTACTTCTCATTTCCAGGACTTGAGTCTGGCTATATAAAAATAACCTGTTTCCCTGAATCCCTTCACTAAATATTACCTTGCTCACACACTTGTCAGGTCCCAAATACCATTAGTCTACATTCGCTTCTTCCCTCAGGGAAGGTTCCTTGATGTTGGTGAGGGGCTCTTGATTTAGGGAATTGGATCTGTGCTCGTTCCCGAATTAAGCCTGAATGCCTTCCACATCCTCCCTCCAGGCGCTGTATAATCCTCCGGGTTTAGCGCTTCCCCTTGATTATAATAATAATAATAATAATACATTCGCTTCTAACATGCTTGCTGGAAGTCCAAGCCCCTTGCCCACAAAACAACCTTTACCCCCTCCTAACTTTTTCGAGGACGACTCCTACCCTGCCTTCCTTCCCCTACAGATTTATATGCTCTCCATGTCATTCTACTTTGATCCATTCTCTCTGAATGACCAAACCACCTCAACAACCCCTCTTCAGCTCTAATACTTTTAACTCCACGCCTTCTTCTAATTTCCACTCCGAATTTTCTGCATATTTACACCACATTGCCCTTAGACAGGACATCTCCACTGCCTCCAACCGCCTCCTCGCTGCAGCATTTACAACCCAAGCTTCACACCTAGTGTTGGTATTACTATACTTTCGTACATTCCCTTCTTTGCCTCCATAGACAATGTTTTGTCTCCACATACACCTCAACGCACCACTCGCCTTTTTTCCTTCATGAATTCTATGATTAACCTCATTATTCATAAATCCATCTGCTGACACTTCAACTCCCAAATATGGATGGAGGCAGTGGAGATGTCCTGTTTAAGGGCAGTATGTGGTGTAAATGTGTAGAGAATTTAGTGGAAATTAGTTGTGGAGTTATTGAAAGTATTAGAGGGCTGAAGAGGTGGTTTGGTCATTTAGAGAATAGAACAAAGAATGACTTCCAGCAAGTGTTCGATAGGAGTGAATGGAGATGAATGGTTTTTGGGACCTGACAAGCTGGAGTGAGCAGAGTAATATGTTGCAAATGGATTCAGGGAAACTGGTTAGTCAGACTAGTCCTGGAAATAAGTACAATGCCTGCAATTTAAAGGAGGGGTTTGGGATATTGTTAGTTTGTAGGCACATCTAAACTGTCGTATCCGAGGGCCTCTGCAAATAGTGATTATGTACGAGTGATGGTGAAAGTGTTGAATGATGAAAGATTTTCTCTGGGTTACTCTGCCTCGGTGGAAAACGGCTGACATTCATTACTCATGTTTATTTTATTTTGTTGTATATATTTATGGCTGAGTGACCTATATGATCAGTGCTCAATAAATACAACTTCCCCTCAGGGCAACGTAAAATATTATGTTACTATTCTCCATACTGCAGTAAAACAAGAAAAAGCATTAAAATAAAAAAATGAATTTCAACTTTATTCTTAAAGTATTTGAGAAACTATATTCCACTCTAGCAGTTGCTGATCTGTGCTCCAGTTCCCCAAATTAAGCCTGAATGCCTTCCACATCCCCCCCCCCCAGGCGCTGTATAATCCTCTGGGTTTAGCGCTTCCTCCTTGATTATAATAATAATCTAGCAGTTGCTGAGGTCAAAGTCATCTCTCTGAAAATATAAAAGAAAAAGTTGGGTAAATTTTAACTGTTCAAAAATACTTATCAATATATCTATGCATTTTGCACTTCAGTTTATAATTTGATTATTTTTTACAATGTACAGTCCTACAAGCCTCAATGAAGGTGTGCAACATGGGGTGTTTAAGTTAGGCTCCTTTAGTGTTTCTTTCCCAACACATCCTAATCAGTGTTCACTTTCAAGTGAGCATTCTCGGGGACTTATTTCTCTGCTACATGACAAAAGCCTCGTATTTTTTCCTCCCCATGTTAAACGTGCAAGAAACTGATTTTTGTTAAATGGTGGAGAGAATAATAAAACCAAAGGATATAATAGTATTCAAGGAGAAACTTCTTACCTCTTCGTTATACTCTTTGACATGCTTCCTGATAGCTGAAGTATCAACCCATGTCACATAGTCCTCCAGGGCTCTGTAACAAAAAACTTGTTTATGGATAATGGTATATGAACACTTGTCAATGGTAGATGGAAAGCCATGTGTGAGCAAAAACTTAATAGCTTATTTGTATATTTTGATTTAAGTTTGAGAGCCTCGGAGATCAAAATATACAGACCTGTATTTTCGTGTCTGTGTACACGTGGGTTTTTGTATTATAGGATAATTACAATACAGAACAGCATCAATTATAGCATAAACAAACTAAGACTATTATAACATGATTCAAGTATTGTAGAGAAAAATATACAGTATAGTGAGGAAGATATATGCCCAAGAAAAAATTGTACAAAATTTGAATAGTTCCCTCAGTAGCTTTTCCTGTCTACTTGCCAGGTCAAAAGCAGTGCCTCTTCCTAGCACTGCTTTTGGTTATATTGCATTTCTAGGCAGTTTTTTTTTTTTGGCTGGGCCCCTGGACACATCACTGTTCGGGCAATGAAGAAGCAGACTCGGTCAACTATACATAACCTCTTGCTTTCCCACAGGGGTATTACATCTTGGACTATTTTTCATTGATTCCCAACAACATTAACACTGGTGCGAGATGGTCTAGAACAAATTATTTTCTATTGGACCATGTTAGTGGTAGGAAGATGGCCAGAAACAGTCCTTTGGGAGAAGCTGCACTCATGTTTTTAGTACAGAACTGTATACATTATTTTTTTACTTTTACTGTCTATTGTTAAGTTTTAGAATTTTGTGCTAAATGAGGAGCTAAATTTGATATCTAGTCTCAATATTGTATTATAAATAGTCTCCATTCTCAATAGTCTTTAGTAGTTTTTTTTTTTTTTACAACAAACCGGCCCTATCCCACCAAAGCAAGGATGACCTAAAAAGAAAATCCTGAGATTATTTTGTGAATGGAGACAAATGGTTTTTAATACTTGACGTGCTGTTGGAGTGTGAGCAAAGTAACATTTATGAAGGGATTCAGGGAAACCGGCAGGCCGGACTTGAGTCCTGGAGATGGGAAGTACAGTGCCTGCACTCTGAAGGAGGGGTGTTAATGTTGCAGTTTAAAAACTGTAGTGTAAAGCACCCTTCTGGCAAGACAGTGATGGAGTGAATGATGGTGAAAGTTTTTCTTTTTCGGGCCACCCTGCCTTGGTGGGAATCGGCCGGTGTGATAATAAAAATAAAAAAAAATAGTATCTATTTACCTATTATTTCACACTTAGTTTCTCCTGCCAACATTCTTCCAAATTTTGACTAATGAATGCAGTTAACAAGAGAGGAATATCAGGATTGATAAATCGCAACAATAATCAAAGCTCTCTTGAAAGTAACTTATTAGTATACAGCGTGCCGGGTCACCATCTGGAGAAGACCCGGGAAATCAACATGAATGAATGAGTGAGTATACAGCAAGTCAGGCAAAAACTGTTTTCAGTGCCACTTACAGCACAACAGTATTCAGTTATAATGTTAGATTGGAAATAAATAGTATAAAATACCAACACAATGGAAATATAAACACATAAGCAATACAATGTGATCCTTTATTGACAACATTTTGCCCACACAGTGGGCTTTATCAAGTCACAAACAGATCTACCTGGGTCATGTACCTTCCACCCAGGTAGATCTGTTTGTGATTTGATCAAGCCCACTGTCGGGCAAAACTTTGTCAATAAAGGATCACATTGTACTGCTTATGTGTTTATATTTCCATAAATATAAACCACCTACTCGCCCTAAACTACTCAATATTTACCTTTACCAAAAAAATCTCCTAATTACCTAAATCTGAAAACTTAAAAGCTAGATGCCCAAAGTTCATAAATTACTTAATACTACCACACTGTAGTATAAATACCTACCCAAAACAATACTGCCTTACACCCAATTGTATCATTCTCATACTTTCAACAACTCGATGTTACATTCCCAGAATATACATGCAATTTAAATATTTACTATATACAAAACCTACAAAATACCTTCAACTTGTCCCAATGTAATATCCCCAGACTGTAATTTGAGTCAACTTACTGTCTACTATAAATAAAACGGATGTACAACTTAACAAACTATGATCAATTTCTCTAGTGCTAAGTAGTCTGTAAGCCATTAACTGTAGTCTGCCCATAATGCCAAGGCATGATAGTGGCTCTCTTTGCACTGCAACTATTATTTTAATTACATTATCTCAATGCACTCTTACAAGGAAATAAAAATTTGTATTTGTATAATGTTAGATCACTGAACAGACACTATAATGACCTCTTAGCACTTCTTTCTTCTTTAAATGTTAGTGTATTTATTATTTTTACTGAAACCTAGCTTAATTTGCCTTACTGGGGGTAAACAGCCATACATAACTGTAGGCCTGATCAAATAGGAGGTGGTGCTATCATATACTCCAAAGAATTAAAATGTATTAAATGAAAATGGTGATATATCTGCAAAATTTTCAGTCAGAAACTTGAAACCCCAATTACAGTTGGAGCAGTCTATAGGTTACCTCACACAAATTCTTACATCTTCAGTGACAACTTAAAAAAGATGAACCCTCAAGTAGCTGACTTTACAAACATTATGATTACCAACTATAATCAAGCCTACAAGAATTTCTGAGACAAGTGCTTCCTTACTTGGCCACATCTGGACCAATATAACATCCCCACTCAAATCAGGGATAATCACAGATAACACCACTGACCACTCCCCACCTTTCTCTTAACCAATTTATGTAAATCCTACAAGACACTAGTAAGATCTCATTTCGTCTCCATGATGAGCCATCAGTAAATAACTATTTCAGTATTAAGTTACCTTGACTGGCACAGAGAGTTTGCTGACAGTTGCGATATTGATGAATGTGTCAAAATTTTTCTTCAAAAAATCCAAAACCTCTACAACAGACATTGTTTAAGTAAAACTAATGGATCACAACAGAGTCTAAAAGGCCCATGGCTTACAGCATCCTAAAATCTGTTTATAAAAATAACATCAATATAAAAAACAGTTCAGACTGGGCCTAATATCAAAGGATCAGACCAAATGATATATGGCAGTACTTGCCAATCTAATAAGGAAATCTAAATTTTATTATGAAGGCAGATTTATCAAAATATACGGGAATATGAAAAAGACCTGGAAAACCTCCAAAATCCAGGGCTCTTGAAAAACAGAGATATAAACTTAACTAAATCAGATGAACCTCACATCCAGCTTGCAGACACAGCCAATATATTGAATGATTTTTCTACTATAGGATCAAAACTAGCTAGCAAAATCCTAACTTTAAATACTGAAGCAAATCACTACCTTACTGAAAATTATTCAAATTCACTATATCTAGCTCTAAGTTTCATTTGTAATAAAGTTACTGAAAGACAAGACAGGTAGCCTAACTAATTTGTTGCCACTAATGTACAGAAAAAAAAACTCGTGTACTGTCACCCACCAATACAACTCTGCTCAACAAATCATTGGAATCTTCATCTTTCTGATCAATACTTAAGGTAGCAAAGGATAACAAATCCTACTTAACTAAAGATCACTGAATCAGTTTGAAATATTAATACGTACATACTTTTAAAACTGTACTATTCTTCATTTACCTCTCTTTTTTGTACATTTAAGAACTTCTACGTAACCCTTTCATTTTCAGTCCCGTAATATTACAGCTTGCAGGCCAGTGTCGGGCCTGTAATACTACGCCAAAATTCTAGCAGCTTCAGATCTGGTGGGAGAAAGTTGGTAGGCCTACATGTGAGAGAATGGGTCTGTGTGCTCAGTGTGCACAGTACGAAAAAATCTGGGAGGTAGCAGTGCACTGTGGGAATGCTAATTCAGTACGTCTTGGTCACCAAGCATAGCAGTAAGGAATACCTCACTCTCCAGCAAATTGGGACTCTTCCCTTCCCAAGTGATAGTTCTAACACAGACTGAAGTGTCAGTGAAAATGAATCTCATGGTTTTGAGGAGTTTGTGACAGAAAGCAATGCCCAGGATACCAGAAATAGTGCTGAAAACCCAGACGATTATCAACCTTCCACCTTTCACCAAAAAAGTCAAAGTGACTTTATTTCCGTGTGGGTGGTGGGGAAGGCAGCATTGGTGGTAGAGAAGGCAGCGTGGGTTTGTGGAAACAACATAGCAGCATGAGTGTAGATTACCTAGGATAACCCAAAAAAGTCAATGTAACTTATTTCCATGTGGGTGGGGGGAAAGGCAGTGTGGGTAGTGGGGAAAACTACATCAGTGATGGGGAAGGCAGCGTGGGCTTGTGTAAACAGGTTTTGTCAACAATATAATAACAATGTTTGTGCAGATATTGTGTTGTATACAATGAGTGGATACATATACATTATGCACTATATTGGTCTCACAGGCCACAAAAGTTACTTGAAAAAATAAAAGAAAAAAGTAGAATAAAAGTAAAAATAACATTACCAAGTGAGCGACAGTTGCCGATGTTGCTGTAAGCAGTTCACCTTCTGTCAACTTTTTGCCTCTATATCTTGGTAAGTACTGATCACAAATTTTTTTTCTCTTTTCTTTTAAAACACTCACAAAAATATTCTTAAAATTTTGGAAAGAAAAAATCATTTTTTTTTTTTTAATATTTTTCGACACAGCGAGAGTTTAGAATCAGAGGTCCAAATAGTGAAAGGGTTAATAATCTATGTCTAGTTCTTATGTAGTCTTTAAGCATTAGGATTAGTTTGCCTGAAATGCACTGCATGCTAGTGGCTTCCTTTCGTGCCTAACAATATTTTATTACATGTGAACTACCTTATCTGTATACTGCAGAAAAGAAATAAAGTACAGTGGACCCTCGACCAACGATATTAATCCGTTCCAGAGAGCTTGTCCTTAGCCGAATTTATCGTTAGCCGAATTAATTTTCCCCATAAGAAATAATGGAAATCCAATTAATCCGTTCCAAACACCCAAAAGTATGAAAAAACTTTTTTTTTCACATGAAATATACATTTTCCTACACAGAAAACAATGATA